ATATGCTTTGAACTCTACCCTAATTTTAGTGCCTGACACGTACACACCAAAAATATATTTTTCCTTGTATCATTCTGTGGTTTCTGAGGAGACGATTGCAGCTGTCACCCTCAGCCCCTCTTCTTATGTCCTAAGTAAATTTATGTTTTTTTATGTTTTTTTATGTTTTTTTCAAACATCCTGTTTTTGTCACGCAAGTCACAAAGCTATATTATCTTGCTCTCGAATTAAAAAGCAGAAGCTTTCTTTGATACATAAACGCTGGTGTCTGGTGCCTGGTGTCTGATTGCTTCCCTGAGCGCGCTCGAACGAACAATTTGGTTTCCCCTGAACATATCCTTGAATTATTGTTATCCAAAACAGTAACTCCACATTTGCCGGGTATCACGTAATAAACCTCTAAAGAGCTTAAATTTTGATTGTGGTATCCTACCTACTTTAGTCCTTCTGAGATGTACACAGTGTTCCACACTTTATGACCATGAAAGGCTTAACCAGGTAGGGAGCTAATTCATTACTTCCACCCTTTGGTGGCTTAGAGGATAATGATGGTAAGTGGGATAGGGAGTCCCTAAACCTCATACACTATGGCTAGGAGGGTTTAGTTCCTCTGACTCTGTTAAAGGAACACTCAAAGCACCATAACCCCACTTTAGTACTACTACTGTTGTGATTTTGTTTATATTGTTTTCAAATATATTCTATTGAAATGTTTTTGCAAATAATATGTTTTTGCACAAAACATGGGAAAAAGGGAAAAGCCACTAAGGGGAAAAATACAGGGGCAAACAGACCCCTCCCCCCCAGGTAAGTGTTCACAATATACATGAGGAGGCAATAGCACATAGGTATAACCATAGCATGGTAGCATACCTAAGTAATAAAGATTATAATATAAAGTATAATATGTATGACATCCAGTACATCCCAAAAAAATAAATCTCTATCTTACATCCTTCTCATTACCATAAAAGATACATCATACTGTTTTTATTACTATTATTATCATTATTATATAAAGTGTGTGGGAAACGTAATTAGCTCTTTCTTATTACATATTAAGTCCTCTCAGGTCCGGTATGAATTATTTTAACATGTAAAATGTAATTGTCAGAAAATGTAATTTGTCTTGAGTCTGACGTAATACTGGGTCTTTGTAAGCACAGTGTTTGTGTCTGTATTTATGAGCCTTATGTAGTATATTACCTTTTATTATTTCCCTTTTAGCGCTACGGACAAGAGTAGTACACCACAATGGTCCACATGGCTGTACTGAGAGGAGCAATGTAGAGAAAGATTGTTGAGGAGCAAAGGCAGAGAAAGATTAGATGCTATATGGAGGGGCACACTGAAATGTATGTTTTTAGTTTTTTTTCTATTTGCAGATGTATTTGTTTTCAGATCGTCATACAAAATCTACAATGGGAAATGGTTATGCTGACTTAGATGAGTTATGCTCAGAAGTTAAAGGTTTAAAGGTTTACTCCATGCCCTACTTGGCATTATGTTTTAGATCTTCCCCTTCTGATCGCTTCATAAATAGATTTCAAATAAGTTTTCTTTATCTGAAATGCATTGGAACATATAGAAGAGCCATCTATTCTGTAGAACTTACTTTTACAAAAACTTTCAGCTGAATTATGGAATTTTGCATGCTTATCTACATAAAAAGGTATTTAGCACGAATTACTACCAGAAAAAAACTTTAACAAGTACCAGGAATTTGGAATACTGAAAGAGGTAGCAAAGTAAATTGTAGATTATCATAGACTTGGTGTTCAGATAATCTGAACTATAATAATGACAGATGGCAATTATTTTGCATAATGCCTCTTTACTGCACCTCCAAATATCAGCAAAACATTGGGAACTAAACAACCATTCAGAACACAAATGTCTAAGGCAATCCGTATGAAACCACTTCCTCTTTATTTGATGAAAACAGAACAGGAACAGATATTCCACTAAAATCAAAGCAACTGCAATAACATCCTATGAGGAAAATCATGAAAACACGGCACAGTTAGAGACCAGGGGAAGGAAAATCCTTCTGAAAAGGGGAAAGAGCATGAACTTATGCATGAAAACAGGCATGGTAGAACAGCAGAACTAGTACAGCATGAAAATAGAGATATATTTAGAAATAAAGTACATTATATATAACAACAAAACACATCTGCACACACAAACTGATCACAAGCAGACAGAAATATACCATAAAACCCCAAAATATCGGCGTGAAATGCACCGGACAATGGACAACCTTAGACAAAGCGCGGAGTCAATGAATCCACCTAACCAAGGTAGCCATTGAAATGGGGTAAACAGCTTAACGTAGGCTATTAAAGGATGGCCCTACTGGCAAGCACATAAGGGAGCCATAGCCAGAAGAAATCTAGAAAGGAATGCCACCACACAAAGTGGGAATTACCCACCACAAACTCACGAACAAAGCGGGAATCCATTTTATCATCCACAAATACGCCATCCAAATCAGACTGAGCATCACGATTATCTTAGGGTAAGCAACAGCAATCCAGGCTCCAAGAAGATGGCTGACTCGATACCTCGTGGCTGCCTAACAACCCACAGCATGCGTCTATGAAGCAGTATGCAAGCAAGAAACATTCAACATGAGATTTACTTGAAGTTTTCCTGCAGTAGCAGCTACAAGAAATCAGATCACCTTGAAGAATTGTATTTAAAAGAAGAAAAACTACCACAACAAGAGGACATAGTCTTAAATTAGAGGGACAAAGGTTTAAAAATAATGTCCGGAAGTATTACTTTACTGAGAGGGTAGTGGATGCATGGAATAGCCTTCCAGCTGAAGTGGTAGGGGTTAACACAGTAAAGGAGTTTAAGCATGCGTGGGATAGGCATAAGGCTATCCTAACTATAAGATAAGACTAGGGAGTAATGAAAGTATTTAGAAAATTGGGCAGACTAGATGGGCCGAATGGTTCTTATCTGCCATCACATTCTATGTTTCTATGTTTCTAAGAAGCAGAATAGTGAACCAACGTCAACATTTTAAGGGAAATAATTATTCCTTTAATTCTTATGTTTGTTTTGATTCTCTCACTTAGTAAAGTACCATATTGCCTATCACCTTGTACATTCTATTAAATATGTAGACCTGTCAGAAAGTAAATTAAAATAAAACAAAAAAACATAATACAGATGCAAGATTGTCAAGGATATTTGCACTGATTGCGGCCCTGGTTTTTCCCTATTGATAATGGGAAATCTTGTAGCCTGTTATTGCTGGGGGAGAACCTGCCCAGGAATCTGAGTGG